GAGGTACCTTAGAAGAAGAAGGAAGGAAGGAAGAAGATCTGGGTGGGGAAAAAGAAGTACAAAGAGAAAGTAATAAATAAAATAAAAATACCGATTCAAGAAAAAGTAGTCGTAGACGTTGGCAAAACGGAAAACACAGACACACCAGGGAAGGGCATCTCACTTTTGGAGCCATTGAACACACGCACAGCTTTCTTTTATTAACACTGCTGATCGCGCTCCACCTTGGCCTTGACCTTCGCCGAGAGGCCCGTCTGCTCGTAGATCACCGGCAACATCGCCCGATCCAGCTGAATCCGCGGGTCCTTGATCGCCTTGAAGGCCGACCAGCCGTGGAAGCACTTGGTGAACTTCCGCGTCTCCTTGCCCTTCATCGTCAGCATCAGGGTGCGGGGCCGGTCCGGTTGCTTCGCCTTCATCGACTGGAGGTACACCTGGGCGCTCTTATGGGCCAGCTTCACCTCCACCTCGCTGCAGCGGACGCCCAGCCAGATGAAGACCTGCGCCCCGTTGTCCAGTATCATGATGTCCTCGTCCACCAGGTCGTCCTGGCAGAAGTCGGTGCACTTCTCCGAGATGGTGAAGTAGCCCCGGTCGTTGGAGCAGCGAAAGAGGCGGACGTGCTCGATGAAGCTGCAGTCGGTGTCCACGGTAAATGCAGTGGTAGAGTTGGGGGCAATGTACCGCTTGAAGATCTCCGGCTCTTCGCCCTCTCGAATCGTCAGCGTCTCGTAGGCGGGCGAGGGGAACATGCNGAATGAACCGGGACCGGTGCTGCTGGCGGAGTTGGGGGCAATGTACCGCTTGAAGATCTCCGGCTCTTCGCCCTCTCGAATCGTCAGCGTCTCGTAGGCGGGCGAGGGGAACATGCCCGCGGCGATCTCCCGTCCGATCTCCACGTACTCCGGATCGCACTGGGCGCCGGTCCAGAGGAAGACGAGGCAGCGCTTCTGCTCCTCGAGTTCCTCTTCTTCTTCTTCCGCCGCCGCTCCACCATCAACTGCTGATGATCTGCGAATCTTCAGCGGCGTCTTGAGGATGTAGCAGTAGGCCGAGTAGAGGACGGTGTTGCTGTTTCCGTTCTGGCCGATCTGAATGCACCTCAGCGTCGTCGGATCACAGTTCGCCCGCAGCTGGTAGAGCTCCGCCTCGCCCGGTCTGGTCAGCCGGGAAATGCCATCTTCTGAAACTTCTGCAGCACCGGCGAGCACACTGGCCCGCCGTCCCCGGTGAATGACAAAGCGCTGGCGAAAGTGGGCGAGAAACTTGAGGTTCTCCTGCTGCTGCTGCATCCGCACCACCTCCAGCTTCTCCCCGAAGAAGGCCTCAAACTTCTTCTGCAGGCCAAAGGTGAAGGTGAGCCAGCCCATGTTGGAGGCGTCGCGGCCCTGCCAGAAGTAGACCACCGACTTCGTCTCGTCGAGCACCTCAGTGTCGTCCTCTTCCTCTCCTTCGTTTGATGTGGGATTTTCCAGATCTTCCGGCGGCTCCACCGGCACCCAGTACCGACAGAGGAAGACGTAGCACTCGCCGCTGAAGAAGTGGCCCATCTCCGCCTCGGGCAGCTTGCTGAAGCGCCTCCCCTCCAGGACGAAGACCTCCATGCTCTCCAGGTCGTCGTTCCACTCGTCGGCCAGCTGACGGGCCTCCTCCCTGCTGATCGGCGTCTGTCGGGGCATGAACAGCGCGGAGAGGTCGTACTTGGCGGTGGAGTGCTCCGCCACCCACTTGTTCAGGTCGGCGCCAATCTTCTGCACCGACTCGGCGGTCCGGGTGAAGTCGACGGCGGAAATCTCGTCCCAGCTGGCGAAGCGCGACTTGAAGGACTGCGTTTCGATGCTGGTGGAGAGAAGAAGGGGGGGGGGAAAAAGGTTAAAATGAGTTTGAAAAAAGGCAAAAAAAAGTCACTCACCCCTCCATACAGCGCGTCACCACGGCGTACTCCGGGCGGCTGATCATCGAGAAGAGCTCCTGGGCGAGCTTGAGGGCGGCGGTGCGCACCAGACGGGGCGACTTTTGGCCGATCCTAAAAGAAGAAGTTTTAGTCTATTCAATCAGCTCTCTCTAAAAAAATAGTCCACACTCACCAAATGTAGACATCAGTGAGCACGTCCATGATGAAGACGTGTCGCGTGTCAAAGTGCGCCTTGCTGAGCGGCTTCGGCCGGTACTGCACCTGCGGCAGCTCCAGGTACCCGGTGCCCAGGGAGACCTGGTAGAGGACGGGCGGGGCGGGGGTGAAGGCGGAAATGTCCGCCCCGATGGAGGGATCCCGGAACTGGATCGCCTCCAGGTCAAGCGCTTCCGCCGCCTCCGCAAACTCCGGAAAGGCCCGCCAAAAGTCCTCCGGCTCGGCGTGCTGCGTCGCAAAGACCAGCTCCGAGCGGTCCTTCCGCTCCTCCTTGTTCATCTTCTCCACCAGCAGGCGGGCCTTCTGCCGGACGGTGTACTTCGCCCTGGCGCCGTTCCACACAAAGACGCGGTAGCCCGTGTCGAGGATGTAGACGAAGCGCTCGTCGAGGCTGGCCACCGCCAGCGGCACCGAGTGCATGTACAGCTGCCGGCTGACGCTGTTGGGCAGCTCGTGCAGGCGGTAGAGCCGACTGCTGACGGCCACCTCCTCGACGATGTAGAAGCCGCTGGCGGCGCGGGGCGCCCCGGCGATGTAGGTGACGCCGCCGTGGTCGGCAAAGAGGGCGAGAAACTGGTCGCTCTCCTCGCCCTGCTCCTCGCGCACTGTTCGACAGTGGGCGGAGAGGTGGTTCCGGAGGTTGACGGCGTGAATCGCCGAGCAGGCCTTCTTGTCTAGGCTCGCTTCCCGGCCGATCAGGTAGAAGATCTCCCAGTCGAGGTTGAAGTTCTCATTNGTCGCCCTGCTCCTCTCGAACTGTTCGACAGTGGGCGGAGAGGTGGTTCCGGAGGTTGACGGCGTGAATCGCCGAGCAGGCCTTCTTGTCTAGGCTCGCCTCCCGGCCGATCAGGTAGAAGATCTCCCAGTCGAGGTTGAAGTTCTCATTGGCGAAGCTGTGGAGGACGATGTAGCAGTCCGCCTCGTAGAACTTGCCGTAGAGGGCCTCCTCCTTGAGGCGTTTGGGGGAGAAGTTGTCGATCTCCCAGATGGTCAGGCCGGGCAGCTGGCCGACGTCCTCGTCGAAGTAGGCGCCGTAGTCGAGGTTCGGCTTCTCNGGCCTCGTAGAACTTGCCGTAGAGGGCCTCCTCCTTGAGGCGTTTGGGGGAGAAGTTGTCGATCTCCCAGATAGTGAGGCCGGGCAGCTGGCCGACGTCCTCGTCGAAGTAGGCGCCGTAGTCGAGGTTCGGCTTCTCCAGCGAGTCGAGCAGCCGGCGCGGCTTCAGGTTCTGCTCGTCCTCGTACAGCTTCATCAGGTTCGAGGCGGAGGCGGAGGCGGAGGCGGCGGCCGCCGCCGCCTGCTGGTCATTCGCCAGGTCGGTCATGCCCTTGAGCACCTTGGCGGAGCTGGCCTCCGCCTCGGCGGTGGCGGCCATCTCCTTGGCTCGGCGAACCAGGCGCAGCTTACGCGCGATCGGGTCTTTCGGTGAGTTGGCTGCCAAACAAAGAGAGGACATTAGAGATTTCTATTTTAGCCAAATTTTCTAAAAGATCAAACTTACCCGGAGAGGCGGGCAACCCCAGTAGTCCGTTAGAGCCGTTAGCTCCCGCCCCCGCCGCCGCCGCTGCCCCCGTCGTGGAGGCCTTTCGCAGCTGATTCGACAGGGCCTGGTCAATGTTGTGAATGCTGTTCGAGCGTCCTCCGGCACCGTTTTCCGCCTGCGGCGTCAACTGTTCGGCGCCCGGCTTCGGCGGCAGCACCAGCTGCGGATTGTTGGCCAGGTCGAGCTTCAGCTCGGTCAGCAGGTAGATCGCCTCCGGCAGGGTGATGAGGAGGTTGTCGGAGAGGACCAGGCGTTTGAGCTTGGCGCAGCGGGCAATGCCCTCGGGAATCAGCTCCAGGCGGTTGTTGGCCGCCTGGAGGACCTCAAGGTTGTAGAGCTTGCCCAGGCCGTTCGGCAGCCCTTCAAAGGTGAGCTGGTTGTCGTTGACGTAGAGGCGGCGGAGGCGTTCCAGCTTGCAGAGCGAGGCAGGCAGTGCCTGGAGGCGATTTCGCGACAGATTGAGCACCTCGAGGGCGGGCCAGGCGGTGTCGAGCTCCGAGGCAAGGGAGCTCAGGTCGGAGAGGCCGTTTTCACTTAGGTTCAGCCGGCGAAGGGCGTGCAGCGTGGCGAGGACGTCGGGCAGGCGGCCGAGGGCGTTTGCGGAGAGGTTCAGCTCCGTCAGGCTGGTGGCGAGGTGGTCGAGCGAGGTGGGAAAGGCGGCCACGGTGCGACCGGTGTTGGCGAGGTTGAGGGAGCGAAGTGAGGGCAGCGCCTGTAGGGAGCGAAACTGGCAGTGGGCCAGGCCGGGATTGTTGGCCAGATTCAGCACCTGAAGGTTGGTCAGGCGGCGCATCTGCGGCGGCAGTGTGCCTGTGGTGGTGGTGAAAGTAGAGCAGGGCAGAAAATTGCGAGTTAGTAAAAGTTGATCACATAAAGCGAAAAGACCTGAGTCATTGTTTTGATTTTGTTTTTTAGTATCTCTCTTGCCCTTACCCAGCTGGTTGTCGCTCAGATCGAGGTGCAGCAGATCGGTGAGGTTGATGAAGAGCTGATTCGGTATCACCTCGATGCTGTTGTGGGCGAGGTTCAGCACCAGCAGGCCGCGGCAGCGCTCCAGCTCCGAGGGCACCGCCAGCAGCTGATTGGCGCTCAGGTCGAGCACGGAGAGGTCCGGCAGGCGGAAGAGGTCGGCGGGGAGGCCGGCGTTGTTCAGGTGATTTCGGCGAAAGACCAGCGAGCGAAGCGAGGGCATCGTCACCAGCTCGCCGTGCAGCGTGACGAGGTTGTTCCGGCAGAGGGAGAGCGACTCCAGTTTGTCCAGCGCCGCGAACTCCTCCGGGATCCAGTCGATGCGGGTGCTGTCCAGCTTCAGCCACCGCAGCCCGGTCATGCTCTTGATCTCCCGCGGAAAGTGCTCCTCCTGGGTAATTTTTATTTAAGAAGCACTTTAATAAAGGGGAAAATAGAAACAGTTCCTCCTCCTTACCTGAAAGTTGTTGTGACTAAAGTCGACGCCCCGGACAAAGGGCAGCACTCGGGTGGAGGCCATGGTGGTGGTGGTGGTGGTGGTGGTGGTGGTGATCGGCTGTTGTTTTGGTGATGGTGATCCTCGTCACCTCACAACCTCAGCTCACACTTGGCTTCTTTTTTTCTAAAGATGCGGCTGCTGCTGCTGCTTCTCGAGCAGCTTTACGAGCAGCTTGAGTAATGGCGAATAAAGCGAAGAGGACAGAAGAGGATGAGGAAGGGAAAGAAAGGAAAGGAAGAGAATACAAGGCGGTGACACCAAAATAGAAATTACGACGACGACGACGACGTTTGGCAGGCGATTCAGGCGTAACAACAGCAACAACAACGCATTCCATTCTGCTGCTGCTGCTGCTGCACGGCAACAGTGGGGGAAGTCTTCCCCGAAGTGCTGGATGCAGCTCGGTGGTGACGGCGGGAAAGTTCCCGGAAGCCACAGCTGAGCCACATGTTTGTTGTTTTTTTGGTCGTGGATCGGCTTCTCTTTTGGTCTGGTTTCTGTTTCGAAAACAGCAGCAGTTTCACTGTTAGACTCTTCCAGCAGTCCTCTAACAGTTTCTTCTTCTTATCATCATCATTCCAATAAGCTTATCATCAACAGAGATGAACAACGACCAGCAGCAGCAGCAGCCGACGTCCACCAGCGGCCGAGGCGAGGGCTTCATCAACGAGGAGGAGATCGAGGAGGAGATTGAGCTGGACAGCGATGACCAACAAAAGAATGGAACTAAAAAAGTCGGAGATTTCAAAGTAGAGGACCTCCTGGAAGAGCTCGCCGAAGACATGGACGACGATGGGGAGGAGGAGGAGGAGGAGGAGATCGTGGACGACGCCATCGGCATCTTCGAGGGCCACGACGAGGCGGTGCTCTGCTGCGACGTCAGCCAGGATGATCGCCTGGTGGTGACCGGCGGCCAGGACGACCGGGCGATCGTCTGGGAGGCGGCCACCCAGGCGCCGCTCTTCACCATCCGCGGCCACAAGGACTCGGTGGTGGTCGCCCGCTTCAACGCCACCTCCAGCCTGGTGGCCACCGCCGACATGGCCGGCCTGGTGCAGGTCTTCGACACCGCCGGCGAACGCCGCTACGACTTCGAGGTGGACGACATCAACTGGATGCTCTGGCACCCGGTCGCCGAACAGGTCCTCCTGGCGGGCACCAAGGCGGGCGACGCCTGGATGTGGAAGCTCTCCGCCACCAGTCCGCAGACGAAGACCTTCCAGTCCTTTGGCTGCGAGAACATGGTCGCGAAGGCCTTCAAGGACGGCAAACGGGTGGCGATGGGCTACGAGGACGGGACGATTCGCATCTGGGACCTGAAGGAGGTGGCGGTGGTGCACACCATTTCGGGTAGGTTGAGTTTTTTGGTTTATGAAAGCCTTTCTAATATGCGAAATTCTAACTTTCTCTTTCTTTTTTCCAGGCGCCATCGCCCACCGCGAGCACGTCATCTGCATGGACCTGAACGCCGACGACAGCCTGCTGGCCACCGGCTCACTCGACTCCACCGTCAAGGTCTTCAACACCGCCACCGGAAAGCCCGTGCTGACCATCTCCATCGTCGGGCACAAGCAGCCGGTTCCGCCGGCCCTTCTTCTGGCGCGGCAGCAGCAGCAGCAGCAAAAACAACAGCAAAAGTCAGCCGAAAAGTCGGCCACCGCCGGAGATGGTAGTCTTCAAGAAGGTGAGGAGGAGGAGGAGGAGGGCGGCGGCGGCGACAGTGACTCGGTGGAGAGCGTCGCCTTCAGCGGCAAGTCGCTGCTCGCCCTCGGCTCCGTCAACGGCGTCTTCGAGATCTGGGACGTGGCGGCGGGCGTCCGCCGGCACGAGCTGAACCTCGGCGGGNCCTCGGCGGGCGCGGCGTCTGCAAGATCGCCGTCGACCGCACCAGCGCCCACCTGCTCTACACCGGCTGCCTCGATGGGCAGTTTCGCGTCCTGGACATGCGAAGCTGCGAGGTGGTGGCCAGCCGGACCGGCCACACCGACAGCATCCTCGACTTTGCCATCAGCGCCGACTCGCGCTACGCGCTGACCACCTCGGAGGACGCTACCTGTCGCATCTTTTCGCTTGCTTAGACTTGCTAGACTTGCTAGCGAACCTATCTATCTAGATGCAGGAAACAGCCAGAGCCTTTTCTTTCTTTCTTTCTTTTTGATATGTTCTCACAGCACTTTGCTTTTTCTTTTGCTATCTTCCTCTTTTTTGTAACTTTTTTGGGCATTTTTATGATGTGGGCGGCTCATCATTATCACCTTCTTTTTCTGGTATAATTAAATTATATTGAGAAAACTGTAACTTTTTTGTTTTGCAAATAGGGGTTTTTCTTTATAACGGTTATTAGAGGTAGTAAGTAAAAGAGGCAATACAAAAGAGTCAGCAACAGCAGGCGCTGAAAATATATAGTAAGTCTCTGTCTAAA